AATCTCTTGTATTTTATGGGTCATTATAAGTTTTTAATACATTAAAATTAAATATATTTCGTAAATGAATACATTGAGAGGATTTATGTTCATATTTTTAAAGTTTTTAATGTACCACAACAATCCATAATGATCATTTTAAAAAAAGGAATGATTACTCTAACGGCATTTTTCTTGTTTTTGCGTTTTTTTCATTCTCTAAAAATATGTTTCAAATTTTCGTAGGCTCAGTACACGAAATTCAAACAATGAAATTAGAATTGGTGATAACAATTCTGATTCTACTATTTGGCAGCACAAAAATATGTGGATTTGGAATTGTTAGTGACAAAAATGAATTGAAATTGGAGAATTCAATTCGATCCAAATTAATTCCATAAATTTTCAACTCACAATTCAATTCTAACTCCGTTAATTCCGTGTACCAAACGAACCCTTAATCTTTCTTCTAAATAAACATAAACCACACTTACCATTTTCACACACATGTTAATCATGGGCGGACACAAAGTGGGTCAAATGACCCCATTCCATTTTCTATAACTAGGGAGTACTACTTTTCATTTTTTATACAATTCTCTTTTTTTGGTTGATTTTAGAAATAATTGTTAAATGATTCTTATTTTTTTTGAATAGTCAAGCATAACAAAAAGGAAAATAACCTTCAAAGTAATTTCCCTCCTCCCAAAGGGACACGGAAATGAATCTTGTCTCAAGTGTTTTTTCTAACTTTTAAAAAACAAATTTGTGTAATTATATGTTTTAAATTTAGATTTGTGAAACTTGTATAAATTAAAGTTAACTACCTAGTTATGAAAAAGGTTTTCTTTATCTTTTGGCATTTGGGAAAGGTATGTAGATGTTACTCCACTCAAAGAAGTGTACAAAAATTCAATACTTTCACTAAAATGTGAATCTCTAACTTTTTATTTGATAAAATTACAATCATAATTTTTCTCTTGTGCCTTTTAAAATTGATCACAATGTGTTACAAGGCTAACATGTGAGTATTTTGAATCAATCATACTAGTGGTACCCTAAAAAGTGTACCCTAAAATGTAGATTAAACATATATACTAACATTTTAATGTTCACATTACTGGCATTAGTACAATATGTTAGTGTAATTCAAAAAATAAGAAATCACTCTAAATAGAAATAAAACATAGAGAAAGTACCAAAATATGAACTTCATATTTTTATCCCAAAATAGAAGTTTGCACTGTGGTAATGTCACACTGTATAAGGATATTTCACAATATTTTTTAGTAACGTACATGGTCATGATTGACATTTTAAATGTATTTTAACTCTTATTTTGGAAATAAAACATAAAATTTCTATTTTAGTATATATATTTTACTCTTTTCCCCTAAAAGATTTTTCACTAGCATTTTGTGCATGTGGGAACCATTGCACTGACATCACACCCGCACAAAATGAAGGTGTATATTTGTGGTGTATAATTTGGCATACAAATTTTAGTGTAAAAGTAATTTAATTCATTTTGAATTTGTTGAAAAAGAGTGATTTTTTTCTTCAACTGTATACATTAAAGAATGATGAGCTTAGTTTATGAGAGCTTTCTGAGAACCGACCAGAACCAATGGGCGTTGCGCAGTTGGCAAAGAGTGCTAAGGGGTAAGACCTGAGTTTGATTCCTGACAACTACGCTGGGAGGAAAATATCTTAAGCATAAGACCTCTGCAAGTATCAGGTGCAGTCTCCACTTTTTTCCACCAATCTGTGATTAAAGTCCAATTTACCTCTCTCAGTGACCATCCGATCGGGTCTGAGGAGGCCTTTGGAGATAGGGCTCATCCTTTTTTTTCTCAGAACTGACCAGATGGCTTCTGAAAATAAATAAATTAAATTCTAATCCTAGATTAATTAATAAAGATGAAACTTGCACATGATATACAAACTCAAAAATTAGTAAGTTGGACACGTATTAGGTCTATATAGATAAGATTAGAGTTCACATTTTTGGGCTTATATGGTGGGATAGGGGTTTGCATTGATAAATACTCCTTACATGTGACGGGCATGTGTATGGATGGCCCATTACACTTTTGAAACATAACGGAGTAATCTAACAATTTATCCTTAATATACTCTTTTCCTTTCAAATTAAGTTGTCTAATTATTTTCGGTGGGGTTCCAGTAACACCGGAGTACGGTGCCACTGGCATTTTAGGCTACCTCCGGTGCTCCGTTCGCAGAATTGACGGTTCCTACCCCCTAACTTACCCACTAAATTAATAAATTAATAAATATGATACTCTCTTCATCATTAAATATATTTTATTTTTTATATGATATGCATAAATAAAGTTAGTTTTAAACTATTTATTTAAATATTTATGTAAACTACAATACCATACCCTACATCAAAATTCTATAAAACAAGAGACGGTTGCACTATTTTTTAAATAATTAAATATTTAAATCAAATAAATTAGAGAAAAGATTTAGTTTGAGTTGGTGATTAGTATAGTATATGTGTAGTCTGATAAAACATTTTTACTAATTAGAATATTTTTGCATACATGAATGATTTTGCGTTTAAGTAGAAAGAAAAAAATGAATAACGAAATATGCAATTTTTTATTGTAAATTTGCCCCATGTGACCAAATTCACATTCACACAAATGAATTTATTTTTATTCTATTTATTAAAACATTGATAAAAAATAAAAAAAGTATTTATTTTGAAAACTACATCAAACCTCTATAAAATAAGAGATATTTGGACTATAGAAATTAGAAATATTAAAGATTATAGGAAATATAATATTATAATTATATACTTTCATATTCTTTTTTACCATAATTACTTATTTTATTCAAATTAAGATTCTCAATATATAAGAAATACATTGAGAATCCTAATTAGACTAGAATAAGTAATTATGGTAACAATAGAATATCAAAATATATTATAATATACTCCCTCGATCTCCCATGGATTTTCACATTGTGTGTTATAAGGCTTGATGATCGACTTTATTTTTTGTTCAATTTATTTGATTGTAGGTGTGAAATTCACACTGCCAGTACCTCGTCCGCCATCGTTGATCTTGCCGGCGTGAGCTAAGGCCTACCCGGATGCTAGAAAGTGTCCCGTAGCCAACAATAGTAGTAGACCTGTCACTGCTATTGGACAAGGGACGTCGTTGGTGCTCCAGGAGAAGGAGGGCCGATCGGGTTTCCAAAAGGTAGGAAGCGACTTTTGAAAGTCAAGAAACGAGGCTTGAAAGTTGAGGTCCTCATGTAGTCCGCGGAAAGCCAGTAGAACGAGCTGAATTTTGTTGATCGGGACATCAACATCATCCAACCAATTGGTGATGTTTTTTTGAGGGGTTGATAGTAAGTGTTGGTCTACGCGGTAGCTTTGAAAGTGGTATAAAATTTGTGCTCCTATTGAATGGCACGAGCAACTTTGTTGTCATGAAAAGAGATCATGAATGGTTTGTCAAAGGTTGAGAGCGGTGACGGTAGAGGAGAGGACCAGATCTGAGACTTCATCGGTGATGTTGGAAAGAGTTCAGCCCTGAATGAGAGCATCAGGTTGAAGCCATTCAGTATCATCGGTGTTAAAGGGAGTAGGTGCGCTGGTGAGGTAGCCTTCGAGATTGAAACATGAATGAGAAGGAGAAAGAGATGACTCCACTTTTTATAGTTCGATTTCGAGAAGCTTAATTGAACCAAAGACACCATCGTGAAAGCAAGGTGAGGTATATTTGGAGTAGAGGAGGGGGTTGATTTTTAGGTTGATGACATGGACGACAGCCAATAGAGATGATAGGAGTAAGGGGGTTGACTGGTGATGAGAGAGGCCAAGAGAAATGATCGGGGGAGGGGGCTGATCAATGAGAAGGGAGGCCGAGAGAGAGATTAGACTAGGATGGGTTCCGATACCATGAAAAATAGATAAATAATTATATTCACTTATTTACAATGAAGATCCACCTCAATTTATATACAAAGTGAAGGGCCTAATAATGGTACGAGATTAATAGGAATCCTATACAAAAAGCAACTACCATAAATTACAATGTTTAATACAACAATATTTAATAGCAATGTTAAAGAATCTAGTGAATGAAGAACGAGATTAACTACTTAATATATTATAACGAATCGCGTAGAACATTTTTAGATCAAAATTATTTTGGGATATAGTAAAATATTTCAATCAAATAAGACGTTAATTCAAGAACAAGCACTCGAAATCAATACATCAACCATACATGCGTCTCTATATTTCTAAAGACGAAAAAATACGACCAGACATATTTGTTCGCGCGAAGATGCATTTTTGCGAAGAGTTGCTTGCGGTTTGTGCTAATTTCGGACGTATTTCAATACGTTCGATATAAATTTATAATATTGTTGAACGAGCATGCACTATACAGATTCTATCTCGTTTGATAACGTTTATTCAAATTCTTGTCTGATCTAAGTAAAGTAAATTATACTCCTGTACAAAACAACTGATGACACTAAAATCACTTATAATAAGAAATATAATAGCTTGTTAAACTTGTCTTGATATAAAATTTTCTAATTTGAATTTCTACATTTTTTATTAAAATACAACTAAAGTTTTTTTTTTTTGGGGGGGGGGGGGGTGTGTAGAACTAAAGTTATTAATTGTTGAACTTGCATAAGTACAAATGTCTCAAAATCGATGTGATATTGTGATGTTTATTATTTAAAAGGATAAATTCAAAAAATATAATAAAATAAAGACTCCATTTATCCATCTATTTACTGGACCATCCACATTATTGCATTGTGGACTTAAAAAGAATTTCCAATGCAAAAGCTACAATGTGGCGCCACAGAGCTGTTTGTTGGGCTGACAATTGCTCACCATTTTTTTTGCTCCTTTATTTTATTACAGAACATTTAGCATGTAATTAATTAATTAATTAATAACGGAGTAATGGAGCCAATCGGAATTGGAATATAAATTAGCTACTTTTAATTTGCCATTTCAAAAAGGGTCTAAAACGGTGTGCAGCTATCATCTATCTCCCCCCATACGCCACCTTCTTCTTCTTCTTCCTCCGCCTCTTATCTTCTTCTGCAAACTAGAGTGCAGAAGAAACCTTCCCTGGAGCGAATCTCCCTTACCCATTTCTCAATACACCCAAAAGCTCCCATCTTTGGGCTTAATTTCTCTTGAATCTCACTTTTGGGGTTTTGGGTCCTTGCGGTTCAGTAATGGTTCATTACCAGAGAAACCATCAATGTATGAAGAAAGGGGGAGGTGAGAATGAAGAAGACGAACCTCACCACCCCCTTGGTTTGGTTTGTGGGAATATGAGCTATTATTATAACTTCAAGAGAGCAAAACCCAAGCTTCTCTACCTCCTCTTTCTTTCTCTCATTTCTTGCTGCTTTGTCTTAGCTCCCCAGATCCTCAGTAATCTCTCTCCCTCTCCCTCCCTCTCTCTCTCTCTCTCCTTTTTTTCTCTTCTTGTTTTCTGAATTTGTGTATTTCTGGTTTCAGACTCATTAGGCTTTGAAGGTGAAGTGCTTGCTCATGAAACTGATTCAAATGCTTCCCTTTGTTCATCTGTCTCCAATGGTCTGTCTGCTCTCCTCTTCTTCTTCTTGTTCGTTTGCACTCTTCTGGTTTTTTTTCTTAAAGTGTTTGATTTGCAGCCATTTCTGCCTATTTGGGTGCATATTATTTTATTCCAATTTTGGGTTTAACTATGTTTGTTTCCAGCTATTTTTGTGTCTGGAAATTAAAAAGCTAAGACCACACTTTAATAATTCTTCACACTTTTCCACCACACTTTTTATGTTGTGAGTTTAGCTGCACAAAAACAGCAAATACTATATAATGGCAACCTTACCATGTAAAGAAATAGATGCATTAATGCATTTACTTCCCAAAACTTTGTAGAAACTAAGAAACTCATTTACATTATTTACCCAAAGCTAAAAAATGTAAAAAAAGACCCTCTAGCTCCATTTTGGCAATGGGCTCTTATTGTGAGTTTATTAGCTGCACTTTGGGAAATCCAAATCTTGTTGATAAACTGTGTTTGGTTGATTTACTAATGTCTTTTTCCCAGTTTGACTAGCTAGGGTTATGAACAATCATTGTTAATTACCTTAGTTATTCTTTCTAATCCTCTGTGTGTGTAAGTTTTTAAACTGTAAATATACACTAATGGAGAACTGTAAAAATACAGGTACTATGTGCTGTGATAGAAGTAGCTTCAGGTCAGATGTTTGTGTGATGAAAGGGGACATAAGAACAGATTCTGCTTCATCAACAATTACCCTTTACACAACAAATGATATCAATGAGGCAATATTTTCCCATGAGAAGATAAAGCCCTACACCAGAAAATGGGAAACAAGTGTGATGGACACCATTGATGAGCTAGAGCTTGTTATAAATAAGAAGCAGAAGAAACGACAGTGTGATGTTCGCCACGACGTTCCCGCGGTTTTCTTCTCCACGGGAGGGTATACTGGTAATCTTTACCATGAGTTCAATGATGGAATACTGCCACTCTACATCACCTCTCACCATTTCAACAAGAGAGTTGTCTTTGTCATCCTTGAGTATCACAACTGGTGGATTACCAAGTACGGTAACATCCTCTCGCAGCTCTCGGATTTCCCCCCCATTAATTTTAGAGACAACAAAACCCATTGCTTCCCCGAAGCCATTGTCGGTTTGAGGATCCACGACGAGCTGACGGTTGATTCTTCACTTATGGAAGGCAACAAGAACATAAGGGATTTCCGGGAGCTTCTGGACCAAGCTTACTGGCCTAGGATAAGAGGTTTAATCCAAGACGAGGAACGCGAGGCCAGGGGCAAAATGGGAAAACCTCAATCTTTGGCTTCTTCTCCGCCACTGCAGAAGGTGGTGGCGCCGAAGTTGGTGATAATAGCCAGAAACGGATCGAGAACGGTGACAAACGAAGGCCCATTGGTCGAGTTGGGCGAGGAAATTGGGTTTCGGGTGGAAGTGTTGAGGCCAGCTAGGACTAGTGAGCTTGCAAAAGTGTATAGGCTCCTCAACTCAAGTGATGTAATGGTTGGAGTGCATGGTGCTGCAATGACTCATTTCCTCTTCTTGAGGCCCAAATCTGTCTTTATCCAAATAATCCCTTTGGGGACAGATTGGGCAGCAGAGACTTACTATGGGGAACCAGCCAAGAGACTGGGCTTGAGGTACATTGGCTACAAAATCCTTCCCGGAGAGAGCTCGTTATTCGACGAATATGACGAAAATGACCCCGTTCTCCGTGACCCCGCCGCGGTGAACAGTAAGGGCTGGGAAGTTACAAAAAGGATCTACCTTGATCACCAAAACGTGAGGTTAAACTTGGGGAGATTTCGAAGGAGACTCATTTATGCCTATTACCACTCCATTACCAACCAGATGAAAGGGCAAATTGGTCTTCGTCAAAGCCAATGAATTGAATCAATCCACTGTTCTAAGAAAGCCTTATGCTATGCTATGTAGGTGGTGACCGTTGAAAGACTTGTAACTGGTTGTAGAGACCAGATGTTTCAAATGTGTGCTGTCATTTCTTGTTATTATTATTATAATTAAATTATTATTATTATTTTAATTATTACTGTATTTAATTTTGTATTATTGTATGATTATGTAAGTGAACATCAAGTAGGAAAGTAAGCTTTGAATAGTCGTATTGGTTGTACCTTTCGTCCATTATTTTAATGCTGTCCCCTTCGGAGATAAGATTTTTATTGTCCTGTTGCTTTAGATGATTAAGGAATCATTAGTTACTTATTTTCTACAATTAATGATACTTAGAGCCTGTTTTTAGAATTGGAAAAAAAGAATTGAATGTCGAAAGAAACTGAAAAAAAATAACGTTGACTTCTTCCTCCATCTTCCATGGCTAAGCAATTGACAATATCACTGACTCGGATATCGGGCTTGCCTGCAAAATCGTGGCATGTGCTTAATATTTTAAGGTAAGGATTGCGATTCAGGCTTTATGTTCAAGTGCCTGGCCCGGTTCGACGGGAATGAATAATACGAAGTAATAATAATAATAATAATTGCTATAATTATACTCTCTCTATCCCAAATTAAGTTATTTATTTACTATTTATAGAGTCAACTTTATTCACTTTGTATCCCTATTTTCATTAGTCATGTTTAAGGTGATTGATTATACTGTAAACCGAGACGATTTAAAGTAACACGAAAGAAGTAATTAATAATTATTTGTAATTATTATTTTGCACACACCTACATTCAAAAGGGGGGGAAATAGATACTGTGAGACATTCGAAATAGAAAATTAGAAAGTTTTAGGAGAAGATATATGGTACAACCGGATGTACGGTACATCTGGGTACTACTCATTCTGAAGTAGAGTAGTACTCATTCTTGCACAAATATAATTAGCATGGTACTTATTCTAAAATAATGTAATACTCATTTTCATACGTTGGTTCAATATAATTATAATATTCATCTACAAATAATGTAGTGTTTATCATGAAACAAAACAGTACTCATTTTTAAATAACTTAGTGTTCATTCTCATGTAAAATAAAATCCATACCATAAATAATTTTTTGGTTGTATTCAAAATTGGGTACAACAGGATGTGTAATATAATTTGCCAAGTTTTAGCGGTATTTTTTAATTTTTTAAAGAATTCAATTTTATTATGAAAATAGAAAATAAATAATTTCACTTTTGACAAAAAATAATATTTCAGTGATATTTTTAAATATTTTAGAGAGTGTAATAATATTAATTAATTTTAATTTTTTTTTTTTTTGACAAAAATGGTTGACAGATGCACTTATTGTTGTCTTCCGTTCATGTCCGCCTCGCGACCCATGTCTCTAACCGTTGAAACTTGAAACCCAACGAATCGGAAGCCCAAACTATTGAAACCCAACCCAATCCCGCGTCTGGCTAGAATAGAATATTCTGCAGGACGCGACGGCCGCCGGGGGAATCCGACTGAGGCGAAAATGGTGGAACCGCCAATGCGGAGGCAGATGCACAGAGAACCAATCACCATCGATTCCATCGGCGAGGATCTTCTTCACAACACCTTCTCCTGCCTCCCTGCGCCCTCGTGCGCCTCCGCTGCCTGCGTTTGCCGGTCTTGGAACCGTATTGCCACCCGCCTGCTGTCGTCCCCGAAGTTCTCGTCGGCTCTATCTCTCAACCCTTCTCTTCAGGTTTTTCCTCCGCTCCCCGTAAAGATCGAATTAATTTGTGTTGTTTTCCATGAGAGATTGCTGGAGCTTAGACTTTTAACCGTGTTGCAGGGTGCTGTTAATGAGGTAATTAACGAGGTCCTGTCGCAGCCAATTCGGCCTCAGTTCGCCATTGCTTCAATTGGCCCCACTTTTAGCTTGGAAGAAGCTCATGCACTAGTAAAAATCCCTCCCTGCCCCTATCTGTTTTCCAGATTCCAAGAGTTAAACATTTCAATTTCACCTACTAGATTGAGCTTAGCTTATCCAATTATCAACTCAAGAGTATGGCATAATGCAGTGGAATTTTATAAACTGTATCACCTAAATAGCATGGCATAATACTATATCTGTTTTTTATTTCGGGTGCATATGATTATTAGATTCTATGAGAATTTGCTTTTGGAGAGCTAGGATTAAGGTAGTTGGGTATCCATTTGTTATTGTGTTTCTTTTTGTTGTGTGCTTTATGCTTGTTGTGTTTCTGTGTAGTTATTTTTAGTTGTCCATTGCGTTTTTGTGCTCTATACTTTCTCTGCTTTTTGTGCCTTCTGTGTGCTTGTGCTATTTGTGTTATCCATGTCACTGAGCCGAGGCCTCTCGGAAACAACCTCCCTACTTTCGAGTAGGGGTAAGGTCTGCGGGCACACACCCTCCCCAGATCCTACCATAATTGTTAAGGTGTTGCCTACTGCCTAGGCGATAAGGCGCTATGCCATGGACGCCTTATCTGTCCGCCTCGCCCAGAAACCCTCAAGGCGTTGCCTTTGTCGCCTTACTCTCGCCTCAGGCCTAGGCACCCAGTCCTGAGCAGTTTTTAAAATTTGAAAGTCAAATTTTAAAATGTTTTGACTTAACGTTGCCTTATCTCTTGGTCTAAATGATGATGAGTATTATGAAGATGACTATGGTGTTGACTTATCTAGTGCCATTGATGAGTCTATGGATATAGATATTGATATCCATATGAATCACATGTTCAAGGATAATTTTTTGAACTTATAGGTTTGGGTGGTTAAACTTGTAGGATGGAGATGAATTTTTATTTGAATTATGTTGTTATTTGTGGTCTTCTAAATGCTTGTGAACACTTAATTGTTTGTCTCAGATTATGTGTAGTCTTATTTACATATGTTGTGCCATATATCTATGTTTTTGTGTGTATAGGTCGCCTAATTGTCGCCTAGGCGATATGAAGGTATGTCAGCGCCTCGCTTTGGCGCCTTAACAACTTTGTATCCTACTCTTTGCAGGATTTTACTGGGTTGTTGTTGTATGATTATTAGATTCTAACCACTTTAAGTCCTTCCACAATTTCTCTGGCCAATTGGGAGCTCAAAATCTTACATTAGGTCCAGTTTATGCTTTTACTCTATTTAGGACATTTTCATCATTTGAACTCTGATGGGCTTGTTTGACATGTCCGTTCCCTTCTAGGTAAGGATCCCCATCACAATTAGACAGTAACAACTCGATGAACCAAAAGTGGAATGAATTTAATAATCCCACTCCAAAGTGAAAATATGGAAGGCAAGGACCCAAATTGGGAGCGATTTAAAATTGTAGGATCATACGGAAAAATAGTTTTGCAGTTTAAGATAGGTAACTATTAGTGATGGCATTTAAGCATGTGCATGAGATTCATATTCATATACCGATGCTCATAGTCTATCACTGTATATGTGTATTTACTTCAAAAGACATGTCGGATTTCACAATTAGTTATCTTGTTATTTTGTGATTGCTGAGATGGAGGCCTATATGGTAAGTATTTTTATATCCAAATTCAATATGTTGTAGATTTCTACAAAACTGGGCTCCAGAACTCCATTAGTTACTTGCATATCACAAGGAATTAGTGGTAAAGATGCACTAACACGCGAGTTTAAAGAGGTTGGTTCAATGACTAGCCATATCATTTTTTACTTCTGTTGATGAAATTTATGGTTCAAATAACCGAATTTGTCTAGGTTCAATGGGATATAGTTGATGATGATGATGAGAATGCTGGAGATGTCAATATGCTTCAGAATGCAAACTTTGGAGTGTTATTGAGTGTTGGTTTTTTTCCAGGATTGAAAGTCAATTTGATCCCATTATTACGCAATAACCGGGTAATAATATGATCTAAATGTTCTTTAAAAGATATCAATTTTCTCTACACTTGTTTGATTGCAGTACATTTCTTTTCATTAGATCAATATTAATTTACTTCCACCAATGTTTCAATTATTTTTCCCTAAGAAAGAGTCATATTTAAATATGGCTAATATTTCATTCACTTTTCGGAAAAAAATTACTCGCAAGGTGGTCAATGTGATAAGTTTAGCTAAAAGACAAAAATTGAAACACATAATTATGATTTCATTACTTTTATGAGTTCTACCTTGCCAAATGGGATCCTATTCTTGGTAGAGTGGGAGTAGTTTTTTCTACTTGTATTTATTTGGGCGTGCTAGTAACTGTAATTCAGGGATGTTTGAATAATTTAATTTCATACGCATCGCAGAGAACTCAAGGACTCATGGTTGATGAATTTGTATTGAGTATCAGTGAATACTCGTCTTTGGTTTCTGCTACCACGTCCCCTCTGGGAATTATATTGTTCTCGGTAAGTTTAATCTCTTTTAATGTTTTAATTAATACACCATCTCTTTTATAGATTGCACTGCCATATAAAAGTATAGCTTATTTCACTTGAATGGACACTGAAAGTTTCAGGAAAGTACAAGGGGCATTTGGTGACATATTACTATGATTTATTTTTTGAGCTCACAAATGTGCTGTTTGTTGTGCCAGGACCCGGAAACGAATATTAAAGGTGCTGTAGTGAAGATGGGTGAGTATTAATGAAATGGTGCTTCTGTAGTTTGCAATTATGGGCAGCTATGATTTGATCAGTTTTATCTTTCACTATCTATTAGACATTTCCTAGATGGGTATGCTGATTTTACTATATCCGTTTTATGATAAGATATGACTATAAATAACAGTCATCTCAACTCAATTATCTGATATATGCAAGGTAAAAACTATGAATGATGATGGTTTTGAAGTCTCATCTTATTATTCCTTCTTGAAAAGGTTGCGTCAAGAAGGATATCTGTTTTGAAATATTCCCACTACTTTTTTTTCAAGATTCATAGTACTCCCTCCACCCCTCAAAGAACTCTCTATCTCATTCTTCATATGTTCCAAAACTATTTTCTTCTTTCTTTTCATGGAAAGAATTGTATGGTTGATATTTTCTTTCCTTTCTAAATAAATCTCAGCCACAAAATTTCATTTTTAATAAGTTTTCCAGAACAGAATATGGAGTTCAAGATGCTGATCCCAATGTAGTTGGGATTAAGGTGATGATGAGAGGATTGTTTTCCTTTCCATTCTTTATTAGACTGGATTACTATTTCAGCTTCTAATTTTGTTTCACTGCTTCTCTTATACTTTGTAGATTTTGCATTTTCTACTGAGACTGTGATTCTAGGTGATGGAGGGGGCAAATTTTTGTACCAAAGTGATAATACAGTAAATGCCATGACCAATCAAGATGGTGCCCCTGCAGCGTTAGCTCTTGTATTTGCAAACGACAGAAATAAGCCTCCTGGTATTTGTTGCCTCACAAACTAATGTTTTAAATATCTTGTTACACTGAAAATTACAAAGAAAGGGAATCACACTTTGCTTTTAGGCTTTGTTTGTTCGGGAGAAGAAAGTGAGAACAAAGTAAGAGGAGAATGTGCGAGAGGGGGGGTTAGGCCGTTCGGGGGGGGGGGGGGGG